GAACCATGTGGTTGACTGTCCCATCGACTTTTCCTCCTCCTCCTTGATTGACTTATACGGCATATACGTCGCGGAGATGCACCTCTCGGTCACAGTGGCACATGGCTACAGTTGCACTACTTGCGGTTGCCCTCGCCCGGAGGGTCGTACTTCTCCTTCCAGATCCTAATGCAAGATGTTTGAATCAGCGGTTGTCCATCGAATCGTATGATGCATGATGGGGGATCAAGACCAATCGATAGAACGCCCTCCGTTGCACCAGGGCCTATTGGCTTCCGGGCAAGGCGGAGTCGACGAGAGCCTATCGAAATACAGATCGCCACAACAACAACACTGGAGGACGATGTGCAGAGGGAGGTCCTGGCTGTGGACTTACCAAGAGTTCCCTAGTGTCTTATTACCAGCCTTCTCAGCCAGTCGATAATACCGAGCTGCCGCGAACTGTGCAGGATATCAGCCTCATGCGACGATTCAAGCATCATTAAACGTATAGAAAAGGCCATAGCCGATGGGAGATTCTGGCAGAATGAGTTGGGCAGTGAGTTGGTTTGGGTGCCAGTATCTCGACGAATCAAGCGACCCAGGCTCACCGAGAACATCTCTGCAGCCATGGCTTCGATACGGCTCATGTATTGTGCAGAGTGTTCTTGAACATGCCAGACAGATAGTCATGAGTAAATGGCTTATGGTGTAACATACCTTGTCTTTCTTACACCCGAAGCCTTCGACGTAGCACCAGGCAATCTCGTTCATGGCATCTATCAATTAGTGTCAGACCTTGTTCTCAGCTCGTGTATGTACGACATACCAGTATCTCCTAGATTCGCCGCGGTCTCATAATACTGCATTGAAGTCAATGGTCAGCAATCGATGTCGCTCCCACAAGAGTCGGAGTCAACGGACCTGCTTGGCGGCGTAGGCATCCTTTTCGATACCCCAACCATGTCTGAAGCAGTTGGCCAGCTCGAAAATGGCGAGAACAAGCTCTCCCTTTGCAGCTCCACCCTTCTTCATGCCCGCCTGGAGAGCCATCTGCTCAATTGATGCAGAATTGGAGGCTGCAGCTGAAAGATACTTGACAGCACCCTCCGGGTCTGGAGCGCAACCCCATCCGTGTCTGTACAGCACGAGCCATGTTAGCGTTCGAGACATGCAAATAAACTCATCTCGATAGATCACCAAGACAAGGTTGGTACAAGGTTTCGGGTACCGCTCGACGTAAGTATCAAGGTTTGGAGTCTCAACCGTCTCCAGAGCTTCAAACTCTATCAAGCTTTACCTCGAGTGCTCCACCCGAGACATTGATATTCTAACCCGGTGTTCTCACCTTAAAGCAAGGCCGTACAACACTTGGCTGAGCGGGTTGTTGGCGCCTTGAGGATCAGCCAGCCGTCCAAACATGCGCGTTGACAACTCTAGTTTCCCCTCTTCGTGTAGGCGAATGGCTTCTTGAATATCCTGATCAATTTGCTGCGACGAAACAGCACGCTCTTCGCCTCTACTGCTGTCCGAGGGCGTGCCTGGCCTGCTGTTGCTCCTGGCGCGGTTATTCTGACCCGCCAGCATAGTCGCGCGCTTCTCCCACTGCGCCTCATCTGATGTGACAATGTCGGGCAGGTTCTCGGGGACGTTCTCGGACGAGGGAGGTGCCCGGCTCAGGTGCAGTCGCTGAGACAGACGTCGGGCGCCGCTCTCTTTCTTTGTCTGGCTCGACTCTGAAGCAGAGCGTGACCGACCGGATCGGAAGACATCGAGGGATCGCCGGGACTTGTCTTTTTCTTTGGGTTCTTGGACTGCGAGATGTAGATTGTCGACAGACTTCATCGAGGGCGGGTAGATGCGCTCTTGGGTTGAGGTGTCGGAGCGGATGATGGTAAATTCGGGGGCTGCCAGATGATCGACAGTGCCTTTCTCAGGCGGTTGGCCCGTGGAGAGATCGTCCTTCTTCTTAAGAATGTCGCGTATGCCCATTTTCGCTAATGGTAATGGTACTGGCAATATGGACTTGGGAGGAGGTTTGCAGGGTTGTAATCAGCAATTATATTGATGACAGCCCGGAGGCGGAAGGGCCCGTTCACGAAGGATCTACACAGCGATTCGCGAAGCAAACAGCCCAATCGAGAACGAGACGGCGGGATCAACGAAATAAGCTAAAGATCAGGTTGATATCGTCGAGTGAGAATGGCATGTTTATTAAGTTGCTGGCGCTTTACTCATTCCTTCAGAGTACCGCAAACAGACAGGCACGAGTAAAAGGCACAGACAGATGCATGGATTGAGGCTGAGTTGAGGCTTTGCGATTTCTTGTGCCAGAACTGCCATTGAACACGATGTGACTGGTGTTCGTAGATCTCTGGTCTGCCTACCTAGGTACTGACTGTAAGCGCCAACAAAGATCAGCAACCCCTGGTTCGTTTCAAACTTGAAAGAATACCCGAAGCCAACAAAAGTCCAAGGCAACTGTTACTAATATTAGGTTAGTAGGTAGGTTCCTTGAAGCTAACAATGCCCCTCATCCTTGATGACATACAGCACAATGCCACCTTGCTGCCCGCCTCCAAGGTACGGTACCTAACCTATCAGACTACTAAGTTACTATTAACCTACTAGAGTAATCATCCATGGCATAAATCATCCAAGACAGCTATAGCAAGAAGATTATCCAGGATCTTCATTCAGCCCATTTTACAGTATTCATCTAGGTAATCACTAACACTGCCTCATGGTCGCACATAGTAACAAAATCTTTCATTCAATACATATCTACTATCTTCGGCATTGTTTTGAACACAGATGTGTTCATCTCAATAACCGCATGCTTTTGCTCATCTTTTGCTTCTTTTCCTTTGTTTCATGATATGCTGGTGGCACTTGATAGCCAAAACCTTTACATGCGCCGATAAGTCATGGGTATCTTGAAATCATTTACCAGAATCCAGTCCCAGTCTCCAGACGCCAAGAAAGAACAACAAGTTCATATCCGAGGTTGCCTGCTTCTACTTGCTGAGAACAGACGTGATGAATTGATCTAGATTGATAGGAAGTCCTTGTGTTCTTCAAAATCGGAAAGGTCCGAGTCTGCATCAATGAACTCGGCAACTTCATCTGAATCAACATCGTCGGAATCAGCAGCTTCGTCATCACTTGAAATGTCTCCAAGAGGCTCGCCAGCGGCATTGGTTTTGTTTCGAAGGACGCTTGCCCTCTCACGGTGTGGGAGCTTACATCCCTTGACCTTACAGCGGCCGGTATTGCTAAAGTCAGGGCACTCAAAAACGTGCCGGTCAGTACACTCTGCTCCTTTCTCGCAGTACCCGTTGAAACCAAAATTGCGACAAACTGGGGCGGCTGGGGACGCTTTAGAGTGAGTATAGGGACAGTCAGCCTTGGCACAGTGGCCTTTGGCAAAATGCAAACAGTTGGGGGTGCGCTCAGGAGTCATGTCATGGGAGAGGTCACAAGACTCGCCGTTGACACATTGCCCATCTTTCAGTACATCTTTACAGAGTGCCACTTTGTTCGGGTCGTGGATGTAGCGGCACCGAGGGCCTTTGGTGCATGAACCTATGTGCAAAGTACTCGTCAGTTTCGCCCCATGGCCACTGGGCCGGCTTAGGTAAAGGAGATGCGAAGCACTCCAGCCTGGGGATGAGAAATTACCAGTCGTTGAGAAGATTTTACAGAGCTGATTTATCTTCTTGACCGTGCCGGTTCGCCTTAACCTTGTCAGCAAATTCGTCTCATTGAAAGGAACTGCGTACCGCTGGTCATTAACGAATCTGTTCGCAACGAGGTTTCCTGTCTTTGTTCGGTAAAACTTAACTCCAGCAACAGTGGTGAACTTTGGAGTTCGCAAGGAGGAGTTGAGGGCACCTGCAGCGGGTAAGGCACAAGCGCTAGAGTCACACCGAAGTTTGCACGCACCAGGAATCTTGACAAGCTTCTTGCCACCGTCTATGACGCGGAATTGAACACCTTCGATGGTGAGCACATTGCGGTCTGCGGGGTTAGTCTGCGCGCTCGAAGCGGTAGCTTGATGCTTCAGAAACTCGTCAAACATAGCCTTCTCGCGCTGCCGGCGTCCACTGATCTTTCTCTGGCGCGTTTCTTCGATGGCCTTGGCGCGATTCTGGGTTTCTTTCTCGTAAACGTTGGCGTTAATAAGTTGACGGTGGCGATCGGTTCTGGAAACCCAACCAGGGGGTGTTTCAGCACCACTACTGGCAGACCGAGAAGCAGCTGAGTTGTCGCCATTCAAGTGAAGGGTCCGGTGGTGGTGCGCCGTGGGGTGGCGGCCAATTCTATTATGACGAGCTGGGTACGGTGAGCTCGCATGTCGATAGGAGTTTTCTAGGCATATCAGTAGTGATCTCTCCTCATGGCAAGGTTCCGCATACGACGATGATGAGCAGGATGATGGCTTGGAGATCCCCGAGAGCCCGCTTGTTGATTCTTATGTCGGTTGATCTGGCCTAGGATTTATCAGCAAATTGAAATTGTCATGATGCGCGAGGGGCACAAACCCGCAACTTGACTGATACGAGCCAGAAGTTCTCGTTCTTCTTCTGACATATTGTTAATGGCTTTATGCGACGGGATTGGCTGTGCCTTTGTGAAGAGAGCAGTGGTGTTTAGGGATAAAATTAGTAGTGTTTGGGATTATTGCAGGTTGTAGTGGAGGTAAATAACAGCGAAGACGTCGAGCAGTGGGAGACGGGCGGCAGGATGCATCATCAAAGAAACAGTCTTAGTCATCCTCACCCCGAAGCATCATTGGTTGGCTGCTTTCGCATCTTCAACGCCCTCACAAGGCTGAGCTTTGTTGTCAATCACCTTTCAACTTCCTCAGAATCTATTTACACAAGGCTTAATCAAACAATCTTTTCGAGGCTGGGACGCGTCGCGACCGACATACTATCTTCATCGTCTTTTCTGTGGATCTATATCCCACGCATAAACTACACAAACATTCTCATCCGATCGCGACTCGACCGCATACCATGGCATCAACATGGGATCTCTTGGATCCTGAGGAAGAGGCTGAGCTTCACAAGACTCGCCTCCTCAATGTGGAGGAGAAGCCTTTCAAGCGTCTCACCAAACGAATCAATACCATTTCACAACTCTTACTGCCATTTGATCCTGCCATAAATGGAGCCAATACGTCTGAAGATATCAGATCCAAACTCAAGCAGCTCAAGGAGGACATGAACCTTGATTTCGATGCTTTTGGCAGCAGTATCACGCGCATGCAATTCCTCCACAACGCAAATTCCCAAGAACGTGAGCGCTACAGAGTCGACCAAGATCGTATCCTCGCCGATTGCCAATCGGTACGACAAAACAATATCCAACTTCGAGAGCAGCTCGAGTCCGCACAAGCCACCCTCGCACAGCGCAAACAATTCGACGAGCTAGCGGAAAAAATCACATCGAACCGTCTTCTTCGACCACGGGAAGACCAAATCACCAACCTTGCTAAACTCGAGGAAGAGTGTCGAGAGCTAGAGCGAGAGAGTGAAACCTACAGCGAAACTTGGAGGGAACGTCGAGAACAGTTTAACAGAATCATGGAAGAAGGGATGCTCTTGCGGCGACAGATCAGAGATGAAAAGGAGGAGGTCGATCGTCGAGAGGGTATGAATGAGGATGCAGAGGATGATGCCGAGGTGGACAAGGTCGGCCAGACACCCAGAAACGAACCGAGCGGTAACGCGACACCTCATCCCGACCTGGATAGCCAGATGAAGGCAGATGGGGGCGCAGGAACACCAAACCCAGAAGCTCTCAATGGAGGAACAACGCCAATGAGGGATACGCCAGGCCCAGACACGCTTAAGCCACCTTCTGGTCATAATGAGTCGCAAAGCCGGGGAGATAGCCAGGCTCCCAGTCGGGACGTTTCGCCTATGCCACCACACGACGAGCGCAAGGCAGAATCGGGAGAGGATGTTGACATGGAGGAGTCTGAGTTCAGTCGAACCCATGACGACGGAGGAATGACACCCCAGGTGACAGTTGAGCTACCTGAAAGTAATGATGACAAGATGGAAGTAGACAATTAGGGCTTTCCACTCGGCTGTTTGTACTATCGATTATATCCCAAGATACCCTCATAAATGAAGGTCCAGAAGCGTTTCCCTTTGTTTTTTTAAGTGTCTTCTAAGTGGTATCGTAAAGTGTCCTCCCTTGGTTCTGTTTTATGATTCTATTAAGCATCGACCTGGGTAGCTTTGGCTTTTACCAACGCCTCTTTGGCCTGCACCACCTGGTCCTCCGGAGCGTTCAGCTCTTCGCTCACAGCGAGTTGCTCCTCCAGCTTCTCAACAGCGACAGCGATCTTCTGTCGTAGGGGTTCGAATACGGCCTTTGTCTGCTCAAGGGCAGTTTGCTAGGTCTTGTTAGATCGCCTTTCTTGGCCGAATACCAAGGTGATGTTTCAGACTGACCTGCTGTTTAAGCATGAATGAGGCATTCTCGTCATCGTTTGCACCGCTATCAATCTTCTCCTTCAGAGCTTTGACCTTGGCTTCCTCCTGCTCAACCTCTTTGTGGTATGAAGCCTCCTCTTTGAGGAGTCGGTTGACAGAGCCTGTAGCGATGGCGAGTTGGGAAGGCGGCGGCATGGTGGATTGGTTCGGGATGACTCAACAATCGACTAGATGTTTGGCGAGTTGCGGTGTTTTTATGTACCAGCCTGGTTCCTAGGCAATGAGAAAGGGGGCTTTTGTTTATTTGGGTGCCTGCTCGGTGTCTGATGCCTGGAAAACAAATGGAGAAGCAAGTGAGATCATGTTGGACGTACGTGGGGTTTAACTAAATGGCGGGGCTCCTCGCATTGACTTTCTACGCGCTTGACCGCGTTGAACAGCTGTGAAAGTACTTCACTGTGGCATCACCGAGGTGCTGCGAACATCTTTAAAGGTCGAGATACAAGCGACCGTTCTTTACTACTTAACTCAGCTACTAATGTAATATTCGACAGAACTCATTCATCAGAGAAACTGCTGCACATCCACCTCTGCCGTTTTCCCAAAGAGCTACGATCAATCCATCCAAGTACCGCAAGCCGTGGTATCTCCCGAAACGCCGACAACACCATCTGGGCGGCCCCTGAGTGACTGCCCTAGAATGCTGGAATTCAATAGTTTATATAACCTGACACACGCCGCCCATCCAAGTTTTCGTTATGATGCAATAAGCAAAACCAACCGACCTGCCAGATTATGCTGAAACAGCTACTGCGGTTGATGCAACTGCAGCACGCTCGGGCTCGTTCGGGGCGTCATTGTCTTGAGACATCTCACCGCCAGCTTCTCTTTCTGCCCAAGCTCCCCAGAGTCCACGCTTCGCCCTTATCCGGATGTCATCTCCTAGACCAGGACCCTGCTCGACCTTGATAGCATCCTTGGTCGCGAGAACCAGACACTCGAAGAACATTTTGGTGGCATCAGCCTTGGTGGTCTGTTGTCTAGGACAGAGGTTCTGGAGGAGAACTGCTCTCTGAGTTCGCTTGCTGGGGCTGTCAGCAGCATCGTCACCAAATCGCTCTCGCAATTGGTGCACGACATGTTTCGTGACTTGAGAAACAGGACCGCTCTCAGCAGGATGGACCAGGGCAACAGTCGTATCTTCAAAGCCAGGCATCATGGTTCCTGCATCCTCGTCCTCCATCTCATCGTCGGCGATGATTTCATGGCGACTCTCCTCTGGGGGGATACTCATTTCACCGAAAGCGCCCTCGAAACCAAGTCCAGTGTCTGAACCGACATCGAGCATACGTGGTGACTTGGAAGCGCCGTGGTCACTTTCGACGTCAGCAATGCCACTGTCACGCTTGCGCTTGAGCTCGTTCATGCCACGAGCAGTGTCTAGTGTGAGCATATTGCGAAGCTCAGGAGCCCAGGCCGAGCTCCGGCCTTCCCCCATGATTGAAGACACAAATCCTCCGCTCTTTTGCATATCCATCAAAGCCAGAAGAAAGGGATCACGGGGAAGGAACCCGCCCTCCCTTATGATATTGTCACGGTTGGCTTGCTGTTGCTTTATGTGGTTACTTGAGAGAGCGATTTCTTCATCAGGTGTGAGTATCTTCTGTTTCTTGGCACGCTGTGCTGGTCGTCGAACAATTTGGTCTTCCTCGTGATCGGGTTCATAAAGGTCTGTCATCTGGAATCTCGAGTGATCCTGTTCTAGCTGTGCAACCCGGTCTTCGTCGATGTCAGAAAGCGGCGACTCTGAAATTCGAGGAGGAGGGTAAGCCGCGATATCATGTACTTGGGAGACATCGTCAGGGTTGAAGTCGAGTGCCATCGGTTCGAGGTCCTCGCCGTCATGAATCTGAACGCGCTCGTCGGGCAGATCTAAAGTCATCGCTCGATCGTCGTCCTTTTGGGGAAAATCAAGCTCTGAATCATCAACCTCTGGACCAGCCGTTGTGCGATCCTCCCTTCGGCCACCTTCGGGCTCAAGACCTGTCCCTTCAAGGCCAAGATCATCAAGACCGAAATCCAATTCCAGATCAATATTCCCCATCGGTGCAATCATGTCATCTTCCATCCCCATGCCGTCGTTAAGAAACTGGCTGTTATCGTAATCTTCCTGAAGGTTGATGTCACGCTGACTAGCGCGTCCTTTGCGGCCAATTGGAGCAGCAGTCACATCCTCCACTTGAGACAAAAGCCAGTTCGCGTCTGGTGGAGGAGGTAGTTCGAAATTATCGTATGGGGTGATTCTGTCAGGAAGGGTCAGGGCCTCCCGGTTGGGGATTTGTAGGTTGACGGCCATGTCGTTGTTGCCCGAAGACCGAAATGCCTTGAAAGGGTTAGTGTGCTCAGTCATGCAACGCGTCATGAGAAGGGCTTACCATTTTTATCTTCATCATAGCTTCATTGCAATCATCCAAAAGATAACGCGTCTTTCTTTGGTAGATTCGAACCACACCCAAAAGCAGCTGACTACTTAGTCGCAAGGCCATCGGCGCCTGGGTAGGCATGATGATGGCATCCACACTATCTTTAACATTGGATTGGAGAATGTGATTTTTTGATAGCTTGCGCTCGAGGTTGGCAGAGAGCCAGACGCGGGCGAGCGGCCCGCTCTTGTTGAGCAAAGTCTCTGAGTAGAACATGATGCACTCGCGTAATTACGTGGTATGAGGGTGAGAATAGGCAATTACGCACACGAGATAAGAAAAGAAAAAGGTTGAATTCCAATGTTGAGGGGTTCTTTCAGGTACAGGTGGTAGTGATGGTTGGTGGGAGAACAGGAACGAGTTGATGAACACCAAGACTGGGGGCGCGTCGGGTAAACAAGTTCCTGCTGGACGGATAGCTCTACGCGCAAAAGCAACGTCGCGCGTACCCCAAAAGCACGAGGCAGTGCGAAAAGGTCGCGGAATATAATGAGAATGTTATAGCGACCAAAATTCTGGCGATAGCGACGGTGTCGGGAGTGCAGTAAAGTGACAAGGCGTGTGCGCGGGCGGGATTATCGCGACGTAAGGCAGTCAAGGTATTTTATCAGAAGGGAAAATGGGACCTGGACCTTGAAGAGGGGGGATGCTCTGGTCGTTGTCCAACGGTAAATGGCGTGGCTGGGGGCATCTCAGGCCTGTGGGTGGCAGGAGCAGGCACCTATTGCGGTATACGGGGAAATGTTTATCCGAAGAACGGTGCGTTCTAATTGGTCAGACATGATCATCGGCTAGCAAGGTCTCCCAACCAACACTGCCAAAATTTGTGGATGATGGCTCATGTAACTGGAGTGCTTGGATCCGTCGGCTTTTCTGAAACTGAGGTCATCACCTCATCTGAGGCAACCCTTGGCCCTAAGGTCCTTTAGAATGATGATAGTTGCAGTAAGTCTGTGATGGCCTTCTTGCTTTTCGAAGACAAGAGCGTTGAACATGAGAAATCGATTGTCTCTACCAATTATCACAGGATCACTTATATCGATGTCATAGGTCCTATAGGTAGATGCCTGTTCATTCTGTACTCCGTACTTGATCAATTATTAACTATCCATGCAATATTTAGACCTAGTGAACCCAAACTTCCGGTATTGACTGGCTTTTTTAAGCAGTTTTCCCAACCCAAATAGTCCGTCATGTGGCTTAAACCTGCAGCAAAAGCGTCATTGGCCTGGCATTGCGAAGCTGGGCGGGAATCATCTAACGTTACCACAATTACAGAACCAATCTTGACTCCCGTCGTTCCCTAACCTAGCCTGTTTTCGTCTTTCAGGTGATGCTACTGGCTGATGAGCTTCTAAAGTCGATATGCAAGCCCCTGGCAGCCTTGCCGAGCCTTGAAAGGTACTAGCTCCGACCCGCACATCGAAGGACAAGACACATGGACATCATCTTAGGACAACCTTAATAAGTTCCGTTTAGGTCTCCCAACACATCCATCCTCACGTCTACTTTTGTTCTTGCTGGCCTCTTCCTCTTCTCACCTTCCCGTGCACCCATGATTGAGTCTCTTCTTTAACGGGGCTGAAGCGAGCCGTTTCCTTTGGTTGAATTTTAATTGTCCAGTCTTGGGATAACTAACTTTCTCGTGGCAACTTTGCTCCATGTCCTGACATTCCCTTTTCATGCTATTCAACATCCACGGGCCTTTTTCTCCTCCTCATGACTTTGCGCATTTGATCTTGAACTACCTAAGTCAAACACCCATGCATTCGACGGATTTTTCTCTACAATTGTAATACAGCCGCTTGCGCATCCTTCTGTCAATATGCAATTGCCATGGGGCGGCCGCGACGGTCCGGGAAATGACACCTTGCTGCCGACATCCAACATCCCTTCCATCACCGGCCATGCTGCGGATGGCCTTGATTCCAAGGATGGCGATCGTCCACAGCGCCCAGGTCGTCACGTTCGAACCACGTCTTCTGATGCACGGGTTAGTCTCAACATGCGCAGCCTCTGTAACATACTCGATTTCCATGGACCCAAGCTAACCACTCCACCAGAACGTCGCCGATCATTTCTCCTATATGACCCCGAGCGAAGCCGCAGCGAATTTACGGACATCGCTCACCCTTGGCCTTACTCCAACAGAAGCTCTCACCAGACTAGGCGAATACGGTCCGAATGAAATTCCTCACGAAGACCCAGAGCCATTATGGCTACGATTCGTGAAACAATTCCAGGAGCCCCTTATTCTGCTGCTTCTCGTTTCGGCCGGGACATCGCTCCTCTTGGGAAACATGGATGATGCTATCAGTATCACAGTCGCTGTGACAATTGTCGTGTCCGTCGGGTTCATACAAGAGTATCGTTCTGAAAAGTCTATCGAGGCTCTTAACCACCTTGTGCCGAATCATGCCCATCTGGTCCGTGGTCAGAGCAAGACGTCGTCATTGGGGAAGACTGCTACCTGGCCACCGCGTGCAGATGATGTCGATTCAGCCTTGACCCCGGGCTCTGTCACTCCAGTCAGTGATATTCTGGATGCGACATCTTCCAAGGTCATGGCTTCTCAACTGGTCCCTGGCGATCTCGTTCTGTTCACCACCGGTGATCGCATTCCTGCCGACATCCGTGTTACCAAAGCCGCAGACTTAACGATTGATGCATCAAACCTCACTGGAGAGACGGAGCCTGTAAGGGTGACGGCTG